CTAATAGCCGGTTATCGGCGTTAAAGATAGGTATTATAGACTAAATATTAAGGATATAGTTCGGAGAGCCTTTTATATCCGGGAAAAACTCTACAGAATTAAGCTTAATATCGGGCTTATTCATTAGTATAAATCTATTTATTTATAGCGGAATAACTAAACGTTTAGCGGCCTTAAGTTGCTGCTAGATTAAAGAACGTTTAGCGAATACCCTCGCGGGAACCGTTAAGTCCTAGTAGGCGCTAATACGAATAGCTTCCTATGTATTAAGGATATCTAGCCTATTAGGATAGTTAAACTCCTATCCTAGGAGAAGACCGGCGTTAAGCTTAGACACGATCTAAGCCCCGATATATAGGCGGCTAATCTTCTTCTTATTACCTACTATACCTTGAACCAGTATAGTAAAGGTAGCCTATCCTAGGGTCTTTATCGATTCTATACCTTATAACACGGCGCGCTTAGTAGGATTAATATACTATTAGGAAATTAACTAAGGAGCTACTAGCTTACTACGTAGCGGGAGGCTCCTAAGTCGATATAAATATTGAACGGTATGCCCGTAGGGGAACTATAGGCTTAGATCCGGGCGTACGTGTACCCGTAAAGACTATTAAAAGGGTCCCCGACTTCCTAGATAGTATTATTAGTTAGCGGCGAGTTCTATCCGCTCTACTCCTTTAATCGGTACGGCTAAAAGTAGGTCTTTTTATATTGGATAGTCTCTGGATTTAATCTTATGGGTTAGTAGTATTTACTATACTCTCGGCGTACGTAATAGAGAGCGGTATACTTAGGTATAAATCTGGGTCCGTTAGCGATTTAGTATAGTTAGTTATCCCGTTTATTTTCCGCGTTATCCTTATCCTCGGACTCTATAGAACCCTCCGAGTCTACCTCGGTATAGTAATACGTATTTTCGGGCTCTATATCGGTATTATCTCCGGATATAGGTTCGGTAGCGGTCTTTTCGGCGGAGGCGTTAACCTAGTCTTAGGGTCGGTCCCGGTAATAGTCCCCGTATTAACGGTTAGACTATTCGTCAGCGTTATTAGTTAGGAGTCGCTAACCCTTATCGTTAGTAAAGCGATTAGTGTTTAGCACTAGTAACGCGCGATTTTTACTCTAATGATAGAATTAGCTTAGTCCCGGGGAGCGATAGTTAGGCTAAGGCGTATAGCGATACTCGGGTATTAGGCTAAAGCGTTAGTCGTAATATCGGGGAGTTAGCTACTAAATTACTATAACCGGTAGCGGAGCGTTATATATTCCGCGGTCGGTTTTAGTAAGATTACGTCGGTTAATAAGCTAGTATTAGATTCCCTGCGTATAGTTCCGATACTATCCCGGTATTAGACTAGCTAGGTTATTTATAAAGTCGGCCTGCTGTATTTCGGGTCCTAGGCGAACTACTATTATAGCTAGATTAGCGTTTAGGTTATCCTAGATAATAGATAGGTATTTCCCCTTCGGTTTATCGGCTACCTTAGCTAATTAGACTACTCTATCGGCGAATACGCGGAGGTTATAGCGGTTAACGACGTCTTCTAGCGTATACTTTTCTTAGCGTAGCTTATATTTGGCTTCTTCGCGCGGGAGTTAGAACCGTCTTTTAAGAACGTCCTTCTAGTCTTTTAGGGTGGCTTACTAGTTATAGAATATACGGTTACTACTATCTAGACTTATAAACTATTTAGAGGCCTTGCTTAAAAGGTATTAAGTGATACCGCGCGGAAGGGCCTCGCGATACCCGGTATTTAGGCCGGTATATTACTTTATAGCGTCCGTAAAATAAAACACGTCTAGGAAAATAAGCTTAGTCTCTTTAGTACGGATATCCTAGCTTACGGTAAAGTATATCGGCGGGTTACAATATCCGACGTTATCCGCTTTAAAGCGGTGCTAGGGCTATTACGGCTATAATCCGCGTTAAAGCTCCCCGATAATAGCGAGTAAGTCGGATTAGCATATATACGTCTAATCTCCGCCTATAGGGGGCGGCTAAGTCGGCGGCTATATCGGCGGCGGAGGAGGAGGAGGCGTTTTATCCTACTATCCGCCGCTATAATAAGCGTCTTATCGGCTAGGTCCGGGTACGCCTATACTAGATACCGTGCCCTCGGAGTCGACTAGATAGTCGGCCGAAAAGGTATAGCTAGGGGCGTCGGACGTTTAGCGTCCTATAGTATTCGAATAGCGGATAATAATCTTAGTAAGAGATGTATAGGATATAGGCGATTAGTATAAGGAGGATTTACTTAGGCAGTATATTAGTTCCTCCTCCTGAATTATGGGTTCCTTATCCGTTATCTTTATAGTAGGATAGATTAGGATTATAGTAGGTTTTATTATAGTAAATAATACTTCCCCTAACTCTTCTGTGATTTTAAGGCGACGCCGATTACCTAGCTCTTATATCCTAAGCTTTATCGTGATAAGCTAGGCGGAGCTAAATAGAGTAAAGCTAGTATTAGCGGAGCTAATACTAATAAGGCTCCCTTTAATATAGTCAATTAGGTTAGCCTTAGGATCTAGCTTACCCGTAAAGGGAGCGGGACTAATAGTAAACGGTTATATAGGTTATTTCCCCTTAATATCGCGGGGTTCTCCTATACCCGCTAGGATCTCTCTATAAGCAGGTTCTCTCTTAAGCTATTTTTCGAAGGCGTCCACGAAGTTACCCGTCTTCGGATCTATTTTTTTAGGTAGGATACGTCGGACACGGACTCCGATTATAAGATTCTTTCTCTTAAGGTTAGGCCGCTCGCGCCGGCTATCCCTAGGACGTATACGGCCCTCCTAGCTATATTAAGCAGAGCTATATCTTCGGGCGTACGGAGATTAGCGATAGGGTCCGGGAAATTATCTAAGAACTTAATAAGATTTTTCGCGCTTTTAGCGCTTCGCGGATAAGGATAGTCGTTAAGGAGGTTTATATTAATTATAATAGCGGAGTTTTAGGTTCTATAGCGGATTTTTCGTTTACTAGAGTTAGTATAATCGCCGAACCAATATACGAATAACAGGCTAAAGTTCTTATATACTCCACGCCTTAATCTAGTAAAGGAGAGGCGTTTTTACTCGGCGTACCGATAATCGTATAATTCTATCGGTATACTTTATATCTATATAGTTATAGGATATATAGCTCCTATTAAGCGGTAGTAGATAAACCTCGCTCGAAAGCTTAGTTACTACTATTTAATATGCCTTTCCGGTATATCCCTGGCTAGCTAGTACTATAGGGCCTATAAGCTAGGCTTTTCTTTAGGGGTAATCTTTACTATAAAATATAAGGTATAATAAAGATATCTTCTACTAATCTAAAGGCGGGCTTACCGGGAATATATCCTCGGCGAGCCCCGGATTATCTATTTCTCTATACAACCGGTCTATTCCTAGTCTTCGGGGCTATACGTACGTTTAGGGAAGCCGGCCCGGGCCCTAAACGTACGTTTAGGTTCCGACCGGCGGGCACTATATATACGTATAGTGCCTAGCGCGCGAGGACTATTTATACGTATAGTCCTACGCTATTCCGACGTATTATAGGGGTAGTATAAATATAGCAGGGATCCCCTCTTCGTAGGGTTAATTAACGTCTTTTAGAAGAAAAGCGGTTAGTTAAGGTAATAGAAGGTATAGCTATAGATACCGCGGTAGTGGGGTTCTTAGCTTTATTCTTCCTATAGCCGCCCTTCCTTTAAGGCCTAGCTATAGTCTCTAAGGTATCTTTACCCTTATCGCTTCTAGTGTATAGTATATGGAATACTATAGCGTGATAGTTACCGCGCTTTCCTTAGTCTTTAAGCTAGTCTTAATATATTATTATCTAAGAGTATAAAGACCTTCGGGCTAGACTACTTCTTTATCTATACGGCGTCCCTCGGCTTCGGTCTAATCGCGGCTAGCGATACCATGGATACCTTTAAAGAAGTATGCCACCTAAATATACGTTACGGGCGTCGATTTAACCTCCTCGAGGTTCTTTAATAGTTCCTGCTATCCCGCTAACCACTTCTATAGCTTCTTAAGGCTATTCGGAGCTATACGGACATATTCGTTATACTCTTCGTAGATATCCACGTGGCGCGTAGTTATATAGTAAGCGGTATCGTGTTAAATGGCGTTATACACCCCTTAAGGGGTGGCGTTATATAGGAGCAGCTTACGACTTTTATCGATTATCTTAGTCTGCCACGATAGCACAGCGTTAATACCTTTAGCGTATTTATAGTATTTATCCCTCTATATCTTCTAGCGCTATATCGTAGAGTCGTAGGCGCGCTAGCGGCTGGCTATTAAATCTAATAGCTATATAGGCGTGGCGCCTATTTACGTGACCGCGTTTAATGCTTAGAAATCGTTATAGGTAGGCAGAATAGGGCGTTTAGGAGGGGGAATAGGGTTATTAGGCCGTAGATACTCCTATACTTTATTATTAACGGCCGTAGCTTCGTAGTGGCTATGCCAGAGCTCCTAATCGCGATAGGTTTTATAGGTAATAGGCTAGTATTCCGTTATCTTAATAGTTCATAGATACACTATATAGGCGCGGCTAGATAGCTTTTTAATTAGTAGTAGTAAAGGTAATAGGGTAGATAATTCACTTAGTAAGTAAGACTCTTAATTGTTAGATAAAGCGTAGTCGAAATCGTTATAAGATAGGTCAAAATTAATGAAGGTAAGTTCTATGCAATTACAACTATTTCAGACCGTCAGGGAAACGCTGCCACCGTATTTTATATAGTGCAGATTCTGCAAGCGTTCACCCAGATTATACTCTTGGCAATCCGGCCCGTTACGTAACCGAAAAGACTATGGTCTGTTCGACACCCCTCGAGCGGTTGGTCCAATGATAAGCTCTTCCTTCTCATGACAGGTCGCGACCCTGCTGCCTTTTTTTTCCCTTGTTCTTCCCTCTCTTTCCCGCCACTACCTGTCTTCCGTCACGCCGAGTTGGTCCAAGACATCAGCCCTCTGTATACGTTTTATTCAGTTTCTCGACACACAACGATTAGCCTCAGTCGCCAGCACTCTCCTCTTCCATTTTACCACGATTGATTGCACCTCGCCCAGTTGCGCTTATGAAAGGGCGCCCGTCACTTTTCACCTCACAGGTAGGTTCTTTCCGCCATGGCCATACGGCTTCCACACAGTCCTGTATCACAGTTGTTGTTGGAGTCTTGTTCTCCGAACGGACTCCCTATGTGGACGTCTAATGGCGACGATATGAATTTTGCGATGTGTCCGTGAGATGGGTTCTGTGGTGTATCCACTTTGACTAATGCGCTTGTCACAGGACTATCTCTCTGGTACGCATACGCAAAAAATCGTCAATTTGACTCACCGCTTTCTTCATGATGGGGGGACTAACTGAACCCTACACCACGGTATAGACCACTTGTGGAAGGCTCTTACACCATAAGGGCTATAACCTTCAACAGACACTACCACTTCTCCAGCCTTGACATTATCCATCTGTGACCAACAATGCTTCCCCAGATGACGGCCCGGTTCGTCCAACCCACAGCTAAGGGCGCCTTGTGCCTGAGCTTTGTTGGCCGGTCCCAGACCCGTTTTACTTCCAAGAAAGCTTTTGCCGGAGGCAGCAGTGGCAGGAATATGCCTGTCCATTTGTCTCGTGCCACCGCCCCGGTTAAGAACCTCGATGCTACACTCACTATTCGGGTATGCGAGCCGTCCTGTGGTCATGTTTGAGGATGGTGTCATCCTGGCGTTTCGTTGCTTACTATTTATTTTCTCACATAGGATGGTCCCGTCTTCTCCGGCCGTGCCTTCGGCGCCAATTCAAACATTTCAGGCGAGGCCGTCTTTACTACATCGCTAGTCGGCTATCCTGAGTCTATGACAGATCCTTCCTATCGCGGTCAGATTCTAGTCTTCACCCAACCGCTCATTGGAAACTACGGTGTTCCTTCAAAGGAACTTGACCAGTGGAATCTTCTCAAATACTTTGAGTCACCACATATTCAGTGTGCTGGTGTGGTTGTCGCCGATGTGGCTGAGAAATATAGCCACTGGACGGCTGTCGAGAGCCTTGGTGATTGGTGCGCTCGCGAAGGTGTCCCCGCGATTTCGGGTGTTGACACTCGCGAAATTGTCACCTACCTCCGAGAGCAGGGATCCTCCCTTGCAAGGATCACTGTTGGCGACGAATACGATGCCGATGAGGACGAGAGCTTCATTGACCCTGGCCAGATTAATCTGGTCAAGCGCGTAAGCACCAAGGCTCCATTCGTTGTTGAGTCGCCGGGTGCTAGTCTTCATGTGGCTTTGATCGACTGCGGTGTCAAGGAAAATATCCTGCGCAGTCTGGTCAGCCGCGGCGCCTCGGTCACGGTGTTCCCGTACAACTACCCTATTCATAAGGTTGCCGCTCACTTCGATGGTGTCTTCATCTCCAATGGCCCTGGTGATCCCACACATTGCCAGGAAACCATCTATACTCTTGGTAGGCTGATGGAAACATCCTCTGTACCTATCATGGGCATCTGCTTGGGTCACCAGCTCCTTGCCCTCGCCGCCGGCGCTCGAACCATCAAACTGAAGTACGGAAACCGGGCGCACAACATTCCCGCATTGGACCTCACGACAGGCCAGTGCCACATCACCAGCCAAAACCATGGTTACGCTGTGGATGCCAGCACCCTTCCGAGCGAGTTCAAGGAGTACTTTGTCAATTTGAATGACGGTAGCAATGAAGGTATGTTTTCCCCGATACACCTCTCGTCCCCCAGCGAGTCTGGTCACTGATAAGTGTACGCTAGGCATGATGCACAAGACGCGCCCCATCTTCTCCACGCAGTTCCACCCCGAGGCGAAGGGTGGTCCCATGGACAGCTCCTACCTGTTTGACAAATATATGCAGAACGTGCAGATGTTTAAGAACAGCGAGAAGGTGTACAAGGACAACCGCCCCAGTCAGCTCATGCTGGATATCCTCAGCAGGGAACGAGTCGGCGTGGAGCCAGTGTCTTTGGCAGGCGCTGCTTGATATGTCGATTGACTTTCTTTTCTCTTTTTTTCTTCCTCTGGCGAGAAAGGTTGCAGGGAGCATGGGGACGTACCTCATGATATCTGGCGCTTTGGGTTCGTTTCATTATGGTGCCATGGTGCAAGAGATGGTCGTGTGGAACGAGCAAGTATGATAGGGGCTTTTGCTTCACCAGAATGTTTTTACTCAAATTGGAAGCCGATTAAAGGGCGGACAACATGAATGCAATCCCGATATCGTATTCATTGACGCAGGGCGAAGACCCGTCAGGCTCCCTACCACGACACAGTCAACTCTACCTAATATAATTGGGGCAACTATCTCGAACGACTCCTCGAAATGACGGAGCTATCTGTTATTGCATTATTTCCATTGTCCTAAGTTCGTCTCAAGCCACCCGGCCCAATAGCCAAAACATGTCCTGAGAGAAGGGATTCCTGGAGGGATATATAATGCCGCCCCTGTGTGATATCGGCCGAAATATAAGTTATAGGCGGCATAGGATATACAATGTTATCTTAGCAAGCTTAGACCCCTTATAGGCGGTGTGGTGTGTATAGGTCCGGTATTGTTAGTTGAATGTTTAAGCTCTATATTTAAAATGAAAACAAAAAATAGGTATTTGCCATAGACCTATAATATATTAATACCTTACTTCTCTAACACACTTATAAAGGTAGTCTAAAAGCTAAGCGTAAGAAGAGTTATAATCCACGTAGGCTTAAATATAGGAAGCCTAAAAACACCCTTAATATAAGCCACGATATCTTAACTACTAGATACTAGTAATCCGTAGCTTCTATCTTCTAGGCCAGATATATAGCTAATCTTTAAGATATCTGATTTTAAGGTCATATATATATAAATACCGGATTTCTACACTATTATTAGCAAACTCTTAGATCCACGTAAAGGGTCCGGGGGCTATTAAAGGAGGGGGGTAATAAACTACCTTCTATCTATCGTAACCGCCTAGAAATTAGTATTACGGATTATTCCGACTAGGACTCCCTTAGACAGGTATTTTCAGAGTTAAGGTCCCTGGTATAGGTGAGATAGGCCGTTATACGTAGTTTAGCTATATTCGGATATATTAGGATATTCCGTACTTTATATTGGGAAGGCGTAGTTATTCGCAAATATTATTAAAGTAATCCTTATATAACGGAGAATACGGGGGTACTTTTACTATTAGAGATACTCTTATTCTTAGTAGACGTTCTCGGTAAACGTTCTTAGTAGCGGACCTAGATTAAGGTTAGTACTATCTTAACCTAATATCTAAATGGATTAACTATGTATCGTATCTTTAAGATATAAGTATATAGTAAATATACCTAATAATTACCTTTATCGTATCGCCTTAATAAAAATTTCCGCGATAATAGTAAAAGTAGTAGAAGTGGTAGAAGTGGTTAAAGTATTAGAAGTAGTAGAAGTAGTAGAAGTGGTAGAAGTCCTGCGTGAATCTGTCGTATAGGCACGCGGGCTACGACGTAGTCCCTAGGAGATCTATGCGTGACTAAGGGCTTCGGACCTCGGGGACCTCGGGTATCAGGATATAATAAGAGTGGATACCGGGAAAGACCGGATAGAATCCAAATACAATAATACCTATAATAGAGTCTTCACCACCTATATTAAGGGTATAAGAGACTTGTATATGTGTAACTTAAGATAATACACACACACGAGATTTCTGCTCTAATAGGTTTACTAGTATAAGTGCTCTTTTGATATACGCTAGTTATAAGCCCGGTTTATAACGCCTAAACGATAGATATTAATATGGCTACCCTATACTACTATAAAAAGTAATCACGTTATTATAAGCACTCTTTAAATAACTATTATTATAATTAGAGTCATTACGCGATTAATTAACCTACTACCCTACCTATTGATTAATTAATTAATTAACCGATAAATAAGTAAAGATATCTTCTAATATATCTAACGCCGATTAAAAGGCTACCACTCTCGTTAACCAGAGGGACTAGGTATCGTGGGAGCGCGTAGTACGCGGTAAATCTGCCACCTACTAGGATAATTATCTTAATCTAAATCTAAGCGATAAGGAGGCCGACGCCTACCTCCTCGTTAAGCCTACGCCACGTACCGTTTATAAATACAAAGTAGCCCTTATCGTTAACCCTAACACGGCGGAGGAGGCTAGTTACTCCGTCTTCTACTATTATACTAGAGGGCGATAAGACTACCAATACCTCGAGCTAAGACCTTATCGCGGCCGCTACCGCTATTACTACAGCTACTACTACTATTATTACGGCTACTAGTAAGAAGAAGATAATCGTATATAAGAAGGCTACGGCCGTAACGAAGGAACCACCGATAAGGACACCCACGTTTACTAACGACCTCTCCGAAAAAGAAAGTATATATTACCTATAAGATCGCTATATATACCGGGAGGAAAAGGCTAACTATAAAGCGTAGTAGAAGGAGTTTAATAAGGTACTATAACTAGATAAAGACGTTATAGCACCAGATCTATCGTATAGGCAGGACTACGACGTAGTCCATAGGAGATCTAGGGGGGATCCACTCCCTGACTAAGGGCTTCGGACCTCGGGTATTAGGATATAATAGGGGCGGATACCGGAAAAGACCAAATAGGATCTAAATAATATAGTACCTATAATAGAGTCTTTACTACCTAAATTAAGGGTATAAGAGACTTATATAGATATAACTTAATATAATATATATATACGAGATTTCTGCTTTACTAAGTTAATTATCTAAGTGCTATTTAATATACGATAGTTATAAGCCCGGTTTATAACGCTTAAACGATAAATATTAATAAGGCTACTCCTGTTCTACTATAAAGAAGTAATCACGTCTATATAAGCACTCTTAAATAACTATAATCGACCTAATTAGAGTAATTAAAAGATTAATTAACCTACTTATTAATTAACTAACCGATAAATAAAAAACTAGGAAAGATATCTTCTAATATATCTAATACCGAATACAAGGCGGCCGTTATTACCCTTATTGACTAGAGGGATTAGGTAGTTTAGGAGCGCGCCGTACGCAGTAAATCAGCCTCCTACCAAGATAATTACCTTAATCTAAAGCTAAGCGATAAGGAGGCTAACGCCTATCTCCTCCCTATACCTACGCCGCCTAATATCCGTAAATATAAAGCCCTTATCGTGGACCCTAAGGCGGAGGAGGCCACGGCTACCCCGTTTTCTACCATCACGGCTACTCTATCTTCTATTATTACGCTAGAGGGCGATAAGGCTATAGACGCTACGGACGCTATAGCCACGGCTACCACGGCTAGTACTACGGCGGCCACGGCCGCCGGTAAGAGGAAGACGGCCGCTCGCCGGAAGGTTACGGCCGTAATAAAAGAACCACCGACTAGGACGCCTATATCTATTAATAACCTCTCTAAAAAAGGGTATACGCGCTACCTATAAGATCGCCGCGTATACCGCGAAGAAAAGGCAGACTATAATACGTAGTAGAAGGAGTTTAACGAGGTACGCTCTTATATCGAAAGGACCGTCTACACCACGTTATATAGCCTCTTAGCCTAATTATAGGATAATACCGTAAATAACCTATAGGCCTAGATTACACTCCTATACGCGTATATAGAACCAATATCTATAAACCTCTATAAGGAAGCCTTAGTCCTATACCGATAATACACTATGCCTATAAAGGCTATACCTAAGGATATAGACGCCTAGGTAGTAAGTTAGAAAATAACGATAATATATTATGAATATATAGGCGTTTTAGAGCTATTAAGCGCGGACTATTAGGTAGAAGACGCGTTAAAAGCTATTAGACTTATCGCCCAGGAATAGAGTAATAACTACCTAGTAAATAACTATAATAAGATTACGGAAAATAAGCTAACGATTAATAACTTCGTAAAGGGTTTACGTACGGTTTTTAGTAATATAAAGAGCCTATAATCCTCCGCTATAAAGCCTAGAGTCGGGAGAGGCACCTTTAATACCCTTAGGAACCTCACTGATACTAAGGATACTACTAATAATCAAGATAATAAAAAGTGTCCTCGTAGTAATATATCTATAAAGGCTATCCCTCCCGTAATAAGGAGACCTTATAAGATATATAAGAACCCCTATACTACCGCCGCCTACTAGTATATAAGGCCGGAAATACGCCTTTATATCTAGCGTGGCCGCGAAGATATTATAAAGGTTATAGAAAAGAAGATACGTAACTATAGTTTTAAAAGCCGCGTGGATACCGCGATATAGAAAAGGCGGGAAGCCTTAGGGGCTATTATCGCTAATAAGATAGAGGAAGTTTAGGAAGATTAACTTTATAATACTACGCCTACTACTATAATAGTTTATAAAGACCTATTCGTTACCGTGACGGGACTAGGAGCCTACTTAACCTAAGGGATAACGCGTTAGTATACGATAATACTATTAAGATTATAATAAGAATAGGGGGTATCCATTTCTATTAACTAAGCCAGAGCGCTATTATACTACGCGATCCTAGATTTAGGATCGTTAATCTATATCTTTAATAATTAAGGCCGTTTTACGGCTATTAGACTACCCACGGATACTTTATCTTTATCCTTTTAGGTGGGTACTTATAAGGCTTTTATCCTCGGATACGGAGATATTAAGCTACGTGTATAATCCCTATTAGGTATTAAGAGGCTATTATGCCTTTATAATATTATATACCATAAGGAATTCGTTACTAATATCCTCTCGGAACGCTAGCTACGCCTATAAGGCTACTACTAGGATACCGTAAATAGTACTATTATTAGCTCCGCCGATAACCGGCCTATCTATAAGCTACTAGATATCCACGGCTAGTATATAATCGAGCGCGCGGAAGCTGCGGCGGCTACCGCGTTCGCGGTCTTAGTAAGGCACCCCCGCGATAACCCGTATAGAAGATCACGATAATCGCGGTAACTATAGAAGACTATAGCGTAGCGGTAGTATAAACGCCTCGGCTACTACAGTACCGATATACTCGTAAGGATCGTTAACGCTACTTAGGGGGTAAAGATAAAGGGACCTCGTATAACGGACTATAACACGTATAGGTAATCGTAAGTGCCTATATAGATCCGGCGGATACCGTCCTTTTACCCGTTAAAGC